TTACCATGATCATATGTATTGAATAAAGTCCGTAAAATACCACTAAAGTCAAATCTAGAAAGGACAAATGGAAAATTCATTAGTCAATCCTAAGCATCTCCAAGATAGCTAACAAGCACTCTAAGTCTTCATCAAAAGACATTTGCTAAAGACTTAGAGAGACTATTGATATACCTACATAAAATCACTACATAACACGTGTCCTCCCCATCTATAAAAGGGACGCCAAACCTCTAACACAACCATAGCAAGAATTGCCTTCTCGATAATGAGGGACTCATTGACCGTGCAAACCCCGTGCGTACAACATGGTCCACCATCCTAGATAAAATTCTCATTTCCCTCCTCGAGCTAGACATAAATTATAAATATTTAATGAAGGCACGAGTCCTTAGAGCGTCAATCATATCATTACTAGACATGATTACATATGCGGATGTGTATAGACATTCACCTAAAAGGATCTTTAATTTGTACATAGATGCTAGGATCCGTTATACATGGGAGAAAATATCTCATTACCCTCTCCTTAATGCAAGTTGATCTTTCTCCTACTACATAAAGGTTAATACTTTATTTGTTATAAGTTATGCCTCTTAAATTCTATAATTGATATAATATCTTATATTTATTCATACTAAGAGTGAAAAAGACAGTTAGCCTATTCATACTAAATATAATTAAGTTTATTTAGACCAAACGCTTGTCTCCGTATGTTAATTTAGTTATTGAAAGGTCTTTTAAATATCAAAATAAGACTTGTTTTGTAAGTACTCGTTATTGATCTTCTATACAAAAAACTTTACTAATTGTATGATTAGCCTAAATCAAAAGTCATCCAACCACCACAACTAATCCAAAAATCACTATTAAAAAAAAAAAAAAACTATCTCTACTTCGATTTTTTTTCCCTGTTTCATTATCTTTATTACCTCTATCTTTTCTATTAAGGGCTTTACTTCTAAACGTTGATCAATCGATAATTTTTTTCAATCGATCCAATAAGTTTACTCGTTGAGTGGGTATTATTTGCATAATAATTGCCATTGGAGTAAACTATTTTTCTTTTCATTTACAAATTTTCTTTCAAAATGCTGATTTCGGGAATTATGTTATATTAACTATTTAGCACATTCTTCAAATCAAAATACTTTCATTGTACAAACCCAATAGTAATTTATGTTGATTTAATTATTATTATGATTAAAAAAGAGCTTTAAAAATATTGATTGAGATAATAAGAATAAATTTCATCCATTTTGAAAGTTTCAGATTAACCTCCTTCCTTAGCTTTATAAAAGCTAAAGGTGACTGATAGATTTTATATTAACTATTTGATAAGGAGTAAATAAACTATTTACTGTATATAATTCAGTCTGAGCAACAAACAATTGCCAAACAAAGGAAATGATTAAAGGTAACTTTTACACATGTTAAAAACAGTCTATGTATTTTTGGGTGTACGCTTGAGGTCGGGCCATGAATAACCTTAGTATAATCTATTAAAAAATTAAATAGAAAAAAAAAACTATTGTGAAACTAGAAAGAAAAAATTTCTTTTCTTATTTTTTTTTATGTTTAGTCGATACATACATATAAAAAGAAAGATTTTTGTTTTAACTGTTACGAAGGAGAGTAACTGGAGAGTGAAAAAAGTAAGTCTTTTTTTTATAATAATAAAAAAGTTTGGTTGCATAAAATATTAACTGATGCAATATTTTTACTTTTTAAATTCACGAAAAAATTGATTGATTGCATTGCTTTCTTAATTATAATCAATTATTTTGAAATTGATCTCATAATTGTTTTTTCTAAAATAAAAATAATTTTCTACATAAATTTGATATTTTTATGATTATATTCTTACCATTCATTTATTCTCTACTTTTAATTATTATTAATTGAATTTAATTTATACGAAATAAGATTAAATTTTCAAAACCTTTTTGATTTAACAGATTGCAGGACCTAGCTACATAGAATTAATACGAGCTTCTGTTTCAGGTATTTGGCCAACAACGAAGCATCTTCTGTTTCTCCGCTGCTTCCAATGGAAAACATTTCAAAGGCTATCTCCAAACTACAGATTGCGGGTGGGCAGTGGGTTAACGTATCTTCATTATTGCCTAGTAATTAGTTGAATGAAAGCAACTTCAAGCCAGAAGGTTCAGGAGCCAACCCATGTGCAAATATCTAGCCACTATAGTTTAAATCGACTTTAATACTTGGAGGACCTTTCAAATATTAAATGCCATGTTCTTGAGACTGGATTGTAGCCATTCCATTCAGGATCCAATTTCCGATTGCTTGTCGTCATGCATCCAGCTGTGATTTTTTTTTGCCCCTTCTACTTTTTGACTTTTGCTTTCAAGAGTTTTTAATATGTTCTTATATCATTATTTGGCTAATTTATCTTTATAAAGTGAATCTATTATTTTGTAATATTTTTATATCCAAATTACCAGAATTAATAATACACATAATTAATATTATATAAAAAATAGCAATTTCGATGAAAGAGAAAGAAATCATTAGAGAGAGAGAGAGAGAGAGAAGAGAGGAAATGAAATAACTAAGTAGAATGTATAGTAATTATTTCATGAATCCGTTTGAAGAAAAGAGATAAACACGTAAAATTACATCAAAATCCACAAAAAGTGATAAGAAGATTTTCACCTTCGTTATTTTAAAAAAAAAATTTCTCTCCTGTTTGGATCCATAAAATAATTACTATATGTGTCACTAATTCATTCTTCGAAGTATTATAAAATTTCTGAACGGAGGGATGGAAGAGAAAGAGAAGTCTCTGTCACGTGTTTGGCAAATCACACGTATATCCAGAGTCTAAAGCCATTTTTAGTATAATATTAAGTAATGTACATTCATGATTCTATTAATTTGGATAGAAAAAATTAACACAAGAAACTGAGCATGTTATAAAAATAAATAAAAAGATAGATTAAAAACTCTTTTAATTATAAAATGACAGACTAGACTTTTTTCTTTATATAATTCAAAGCAACTCCAAATAAAAAAATGCTAAATACTAATAAAAAATTAAAAAAATCTTGAAGTTATTTATTTATTTATTTTTGTTTGGTTAATGCTTAGCATAACTCCTCCCAAAAAAAAACAGCACACTGCAGGCGAGAGTTCCATGGAGAACATTAGAAGGAATAATAATTCTTCTTCCTCTTTATAATAATAACAATCATGATATTCTTTATCAGCAGCCAAGCCCAATTGGAGCCTATTCTTTATCAAGTTGGATATCGATCAATTGGAGCATCATGTACAAGCTTCTCTAGTCATACACGCTCCTCGGTGGGGTGCAACTTTCACAAAGGGATTCTTGCACCAAATGGGTGGCTATCTCCAATCTGGGCAGAATTTAACTAAAACTGGAACCTCACCTACAGAGAATTTTATGCTCGTCAAATCATCAGGTAATTAAGCAGAGAACAGAGAGACGAACAATGATTTTAGCTCAACAATCTATTCAAATCTATGGATCATAATATTGATGTGCTATCATGCAACATCAACAATTAAATTCAAAAGAAATACAAAATTGTTGCATCCCAAAACTTCTTCAAATGTCAATCAAATATACTAATTACACCCATTATTACCAATTGCAAGGAACATACATCTCCAATTACATCACCAGCAATTCCTCAATTCCAAAGATTGCTAAACTTGAATTTTGAAAGAGGATAGATATTTCATCGCAGAAGCATACGTTTTATGTACATCCAAAACACCTACAACAACAAATGATAAAATGTCAACTAATGGAAAGAAACCAAGAATCATTGTAGAAAATTCATCCAAAGCTTCATATTTCGAGGAGTTAGGCTGGTTATCAGTTTGGTACAAATTGTTCACGCAAATGACAGACAGCTGGCAGCTGCGTGTTGAAAAAGACTACAAGTTGACCACCATGTCTATCCCTTGACTGACTTTGTAGTTCACTGTTTGCAAAGGTGGCATTGTTTAAAAACCAAAGGCATTGTCACCAGTTCAAATGGATTTCAATTGATGTCAACTGAAATTTGGTCCATAAACAGTTCATTCTCAATGTCCATGGACCAAATGTTGGTTGACACAGTCATGCAAATGAACTTTAATAGAAAATGCATTCTAACCACAAAGGCATTGTAGAAAACAACCTTTGCAAATAAACTTAAAGGACTCCAATAAGACAAATTCAAATCGTTAACTTAGATAGAAATTGAACCTTGCACTTGAATAAGTCATAAGGATCCTGAACAAACACCAACTTCTCGGTTATATTTAAGTAACTTGGATTGATGAGTAGCAATTACTATTTCAACTATGTTACCCATTTTCTCCTGTTTAGTTCCGAAGATTTACTAAAGCTGGTTCAAAATGCTGACTGTGCTATCTAGAAAAGCAATAGCACTTGAAAGTAATGTGTTTGTTGGGACACATGCTTTTGAAATGCCAAGTGAATGGTTAGAGGTACCAAATAGCACATTACAAATCATGACCCTTTCATAAGGTCAAAAGCTGTTTGATAATGAGAAGCAGGACACAGTTCCAGGATTCAGAGGAGCTTACAAGTATAGGGACACAAGGCTTAACACAACTTTGAGGCTTCCGAAACCAAATTTCACAAGAGTATCAATGATCACATAAAACTCAATTATCCAGCAGCTCAAGCCATCTCTCAAAGCAAACTTGCTTGCTAAAACGACAGAAAAGTGACTAATCTTTTTCCTGAAACAGGTGTCATGTGTAGGAGTTCTATGATTCTTGAACCAATATGTTGATTCTTGTTTTGAAAAGAATACAAATTAAACAGGGATATTTATAGAAGGGCAAATAGTTCAAGTAGAAATGATTACCTCTAATATGCACAAAGTAATCTGTTCCAAGGCAATGTCCAATGTCCCAATCTCTTCCCAATCAGTGATATCGCCAGATTTAGTTGGTCATCAACAGCTCTAAAGCATACACATCAAAGTTGGGAGAAATCAAGAGCCTTGGGAAATTTTATCCTCCTTAATGTGATCTTCAGATATATTTTCGTTTAGTGCAGCTCTTCTTTTGGTTTGGATTTGGCGGACAAACTCTGTGACTATCACATGCAACTTAGGAGCAATCTTACTTGGTGAAGAGACATTGAGACCTGCCTTTTTCAAGGCTCTTGCTACATGTCTTTCAGCCTTTTGAAAATGCGTAGGACAGAGGGAGGGGACAGTTGATATCAGAACTGGTTTCCCACAAAGGACACGCCTTCCCTGTGCACTGAATATCCAGGAGTGCAGTAAGAACAAGAAATATCCAAGCATGCTATAGAAAAAGCAACTATTTGCAGTGAAGAAAAAATAGCAGTAAACCGCAGGTAATGACAACATAACTCCTCTTATACCAATTTATCCTGAATGACACAAATGGTGCCAATATCGAAATCATACTTTCATGGTATAAGAACTTAATATAAAAGGTAAAACACAGTATTAGTGCCCGCCTCAACACAAAAGTCCTATGCAGAAACCTAATGACATTATGATACCATTAAACGTTTAATGTCAATAATATCTTTCCTATAAGTGCACGCTCGGTTGACAAACATATTCATAACCTTTTACCACAATGCCTTCCCAATCCCCTTTTAGTTGATTTCCATCTCACTCAATAACTTAAGCCACAACTTGTTTGAGGTGCTTTAAACTCCAAACAGTTGCAACAAAATCTTTTAATATGCTTGTTCTACAATAATATGCATGCATAGGAGAAGCTGGTTATTGGAAAGGTGCTGAAAATATTGATTTTAAGGAAATTTCAACTACAGGATAACTAGTTTTTTTGAAGAACACAATCACCACTGCTGCTTTCTCTATAAATGATTAGACACCTGATCAAATCCATCACTTAAATTTTTTAGCTCAACTTTTTTCCCACAAAAGGTACAAATATCCCTAAGGACCTGTTGCAAGAACAATTGCCCATAGAAGTTGTCATATACTGTCATGTTCATTAATTTCTGGTTTATATTTTGCTTCCTAGGACTCTTGAAGAAAATAAACCAGAGACCCTTAGAAATTCTTAAATAAATAGGTCCTATGCTTTACTAATATTAAAAAAAATGCCCATAAATTACAGCAAAAGCACATTATGGTTTTCACTTGCTTCTAGAATTGCCCATGACTTATGAAATAAAATCTTAACCGCTATGCCCATAGGAGATCACAAAAGGGTCCCGTGTGACAAAAAGTCCAATTTTCAAGAGCTAAAAACTTATGGGAAAAGGGCCAAATATTTTTCTCGTGGCTTAATCAATAGCATATACATTTTATAGGACTAGCAAAATATGTTACCAGAGACCTCCTTTTAATGACAAATCTTCATCAATATATCCTAGCACACCTAAACATTTAAACAGGGGCAGTCAATGAAAGGTGCATAAGTTTACAAGGAGAGCAAATGAGTAGTACAACTTGGAAATAAGAAAATGCAAGACACCAACTTTTTATCCTTCAGTCTATAAAGCAAGACACTGTTGCTATCTAGCTTGGAAGATCACCAAATTAAACAAGCAAAATTAACAATTTGAACAAACAACTGGTACCTTTAATTATCGACCTACGTTGATCAGCAGAAATAAATTTAGTTCAAATAACAACCAATAACCCTAGAAGATCACCAAATTAAACAAACAAAATCAACAATTTGAACAAACAACTGGTACCTTTAATTATTGGCCTAAGTTGATCGGCTGAAATTAATTTAGTTCAAATAACCACCAATAACCCTAGAAGAGGAGCAAGATACCTATCAGTTCTGCCTCACTAAAATTCCACTTAAACACTGAGAAACAAGGAAAAGTATAAAGGCCATTGGATCGGAAATCAAGTAAAAAAAATTGTTTTCTTGCCACTTCCTGCGTTGTTCACTGACCAAAGGTAACACAAATGAAACCAATGCATAGCGACGTAAAACATGCAAAAACATGCAGACAGTATGTCAGTCAGGATGGGCTTTTAACTTTTTTATAATCCAAGATAACATATATACACAATCGTAGAGCTAATTTTCTTGCCATTATTGTTTCTCAATAATTATCTTGTCATCCTTATTTCTCAACAATGTTTGCATTCATTTCTCATCCTTAGCATTCCAAGTAACCAGGCAAAGGCTCAAAACCATCATAAGAAGCAAATTATATATACAGGTATTGACAAAAACAAGCATCCAGAGGAAAAGGAAATTGAAACTGATCAGACACTTAAACCCAAATCTTCATCATTTTCTCATAGTTAAAATTCTCAAAAGCCAAAAAAAATCCTATTCAAACTACTACATTACCAACTCATGCAGATACGACAATCTTTTCCCCACTATCCAAACCTCTTAAGTCTTAATACACAACCTAGTAACCAACTTAAACTAGCACAGACAGATCAAAAAAGGAAGAAAATTAAAAAAAAAAAAAAAAAAAAAAAGGAAGAAAAAAATACCTTTTAACAACATAGTCGCAACCTTTATAAAGCTTTTGTTTAGAATCCGACAATATATGTGTATAACAAAACCTCGTTAAAGCCATTGCTTTCGCTTTACACCCACTAGCCGAGCACTTCCTCACCCCTTCCTCCTCTCTCTCCTCCGCCTCCGCTTCTTCGCCGCCATCATTGATCCCTAATCTCGCATTCAATTCAAAACTATCTTTATCATTGTTAAAATCTCTCTTTCTTTTCTTGTTTTTCTCATCTTCTTTGTATGGGCTTTTCCCATGCATCCAGTAATACTCTTTGTGTTTGATTTTGAGCTCTTCCATTAAGGTCCAGTAATGGGCTCTGAAGATCTGAACGAGTTGCTTGAATCGGCGAGATCGACGAGTTAAGAGTTCTTGGTGAGTTAGGTATGCAGAGGATGAGAGAGCAGCGTCTTCTTCTGCGCCGTCGATTCTTATGGAATTGGGAGGTTGTGGCGGTGGCGGTGGTGGCGAAGGAGCGTTGGCCATGGTGAGTTGGAGAAGCGAGTTGGGGTTTTTGGATTTGGGGGGTTTTGGGGTTTGTGCTTCGGAAATAAGGAAAGACGACTAGCAGCGTGCTCATGTCGGATACGTTTTCTTCTATTCGGGCTCTATAAATTGACTAGTGTTCCACTTTGGATTTTATAGTTTAAAACTTTCAATATAACCCTAAAAATTATTAAAAGTTGCCATTAGCTCACGATCTTTAAATAGCCAGTTAAGGTTAATAAAAAGTCCATTTTTTAAATATTTTTTCTCTTTTTTCTCAATTCCCCCTCCTAAGCACTTATGCATTTAAGATATATTTAAAATTAAATAAATTAAAAATAAATAAAATGTGAATTTCAAACTATAAGAGTTGACATTAAATATTTTTGAACCTAGAGGAGTTAATATTAATTTATCTTATATTTTATTCGATTATTTTTATAGATGTAGTTCATTTTCTTTATAATTAAAAAAAATAACAGGGTGCAAACCATGCCCATATATTTTTCTAATTTTTAGATAATAAAATTGAAATTTGTTAAAAATCTTTTAATTGTTATAAAATAAATAGAAAAAATAGGAGAATTAAAAAAATAATGACGAGAAAATGAAATCACTATAATGTGAATATAAGTGATAAGAACTTCAAAGTTTTTCTTATTCTCTCTAATAAACTTGTACCTCGACTAATGAGCAATCAAGCCTATTTACGAGCTTTAAAATCGAGGAAAAAATTGGAAGGGATTATGAATAATCAATTGCATCACCCTTTCAATTTCTCATATTGAATGATGAATTGAATCATATTAAGAATTATATAGCATTATCCTCATATGATATTGTTGGAACTTTTTTCGTTGATAGATAAACCGTATGTCTCTGGATATGATGGATCGTTGATCTTAGCCAAACACATTCTCGACTTGCCTTATGAATTGATATTTCCGCATGATTTGAAGATGTAGTAGCCGTAGTTTGCTTCCTAGAACACCAATATATAGTTGTATCTCCATATGTAAATATATAAGTAGTTGTAATCGAGCTTTGTGTAGATTAGATAAATAACCCGCATCCGCATAGCCAATTAAACTTATCTTTGATTTATTGGAGTAATATAAGCCCATATCAATTATTCCTCGAAGATAACGTAGTATATATTTAACTTTATTTTAATATCTTTGTATTGAAACAAAACTATGACTTGCTAATAAATTTATAGAAAAGACTACATCGAGTCGAGTATTATTAGCAAGATATATCAATGCATCGATGGCACTAAGACATGATGCTTTAGGATCAAGTAGTTCTTCGTTATCTTCTTGAAGTAAAAAATGATCGTTTTGGATATCAAGTGAATGAACTATCATTGGGCTAGTCAATGAATGATCTTTATATAGAATCGGTGTTGAACTTTTTTCTATATAAATTGATTGATGAATAAAAATATCTTTCTCGGAGTGTTCGAACTCGAGAGTCGAGATAACATTTTGTTTTCCCAAGATATTCATGTCAAATTTTCTTTTTAGGTAAATTATGACATTTGGAATCTCTTCGAGAGTTCCAATAATATTTAAGTTATAAATATATACAACAAACCACTTTTCAAATAAAAACATACGAACAAATAGGGTTTTTTTTAATAATTTTTTTTCAATAATTATTGAAGTGATTATATCACATGCACACGGGTTAGTAATAAAAAGTAGATATAAAAATAAAATATAAAAAGTATAATATAAATTGAATTTCTAAAAACTAAAATAATAAAATAAATACTAATAATCCTAATAGATATCTTTATAATTTAATTGAATTTTTTTTTCGAGAATACGTATTACATGCTTCGGCATGTTAAGTCCTTCTTGGACTTTCATGTTAATATCATTTCAAATGAACAAATAAATTATGATCACATTCATTAAATGCATGCATATGAATATTTTTCATATATTTTATCGAGCTAATGAGATAATAAAATATAATTGCATCAATTATAAGAGAATATGTCTCGCTCATAATCAATATCGATTCTTTACAAAAACTCTTATGTTGAAAGTTTTGCTTTGTATCTTACAATCTCATCTTTCTTATTTCGTGTTCGCATAAATACTTATTTGTATCTCACTAGCTTAACATCTTCGGGTGTTTTAGCTATGGGTTCAAAAAACTACTCTTTTGTAGGAGAACATAATGTTATCCGGATTGCTCTTTTCATTTAGGCTAATAATCTTTATGTCAACATTCTTCAATAATTTAGGCTCGGGATCCTTATCTTCATTCAAAATATCAATTGTAACTTTACATACAAAAATCTTATCAATAAATATTTCTCTTCGATCCTATTTTCTCCTCGTATTGACATAATTTATCAAAATCTCTTGATTTTTCTCAAGCATTTGGACTTCTTCTGAAGCTTATTATCGAAATATCTTAAACCGTTTTATGAATATTTACATCATTTATATTTTCATCTTGTCCTTTTCTTTTAGGGATTTTTATCTTTAGAACCGATCGATCTTCCACGCTTCGGGCATTCTTTAGTTTCATTAACTATAACATTAATATACTTGTCCTTTTAAGACATTAATTATAATAGGAATATTCTTAGTAGGGACATGCATTTTAGTTACTCATTTAAGATTTGAGAATATATCCGGTAGTTGGTTTCAATACACGGTAAATGAATTATCTTTTGAACTTCTAATTCACGTTATCTTCTATAAGAATCAAGGTGATATAAGATAGAGTACTCCATGCAAATTTTTTTTCAACATTTTCAACGGCTTATTTTGCTTATTCTCTTCCCCTAATGTTGAAAAAACTATTTCATCAAAACAACGATCGATAAATCGAGTCGTAAAAATTTTCTCTTGTTCATGAATTAAGAGATTGAATTATCAAAGAGGATTCATATATTCTCAACTCTTTTAAGTGCTCGTTTTATTTCATTATGGAGGAGTACTAAAGATATACATCTGCAATGCTAAAAAATTTTAAATAATAAATAATTGGCTCATGATCATAAATCAATTTGAAGATGAGAATTTTTAATAACTTATGGGTCATATGCAAATAAGTGTTGTTGTATGTAAGATTCCATGTCCCCAAACATAAACGGGGAGTTTTATTTTTAAATAATGGTTTAGCTATCAATTGGAGTCTTTTGATAAATGATTTTACTAAACCTTTTTGAGTATGAACATAAACAACAAGATGTTCAACCTTTATTTTAATAGCCAATCAATAGTAATTTAATGCTTGAGAAATAAATTCATCGGCATTATCAAGGTGACTTGTTTTAATATCATAATTTGAAAATTATGCTTGAAATCAAATTATTTGCTAGCAATCTCGAAAACATCAAGTTTCGAGTAGATAATAAGCATACATGTGACCATCTTGTGGATGCATTTATCAAAATCGTAAAATATTTAAATGGTCACATGGTGGATGAATTGATCCATATAGATTATCTTGAATACATTCTAAAATATTGAAGATTTAATCTCAATTTTATTTGATGATTGCTTAATCATCAATTTTCCTTAGCAACATACGGAACATGAAAGTTCATTAAATTGAAGAATCTTCGGCTCTTCAATAGATATTCATATAAATTTTTTTAATAATTTTTTTTGTATCATGAAAGACCCAAGATAACACAACTGGTCATATCACATAATAAAAGTATTTAAATTAGTAAACTTCGGTTTACTACAATATTTGTTTCAATCATTTCAATATTTGTAATAAAGACTAGGAGAGAAAATAAATAAATTTTTTTGATAGATATATTCTACTCGATATAATGATTATAACATATAAGTATTCACATCTGCTATCTTGATATGATATCAATTCGGATGAATATATTTGAAACTCAACAAATTTTTATGAGACTTTGAAGAGAATAGTATATTATTCATAATAAATTTATCCTTTCGGATAATAACATATTTGCTCTTCTAGAGCCTTTAAATTAGTCACTTCAAGTAATAATATATCGACTCTTCTAGAGTCTTTAAACATTTTCTCTTCAATTAATAATTTATTCACTCTTCTAGAGCTTTAAAAATTTATCTCTTCAAGTCATGATATAATCGCTCTCTAGAGCCTTCAAAATCTATTTCTTTAGATAATGATATAGTCGTTGTTCTAGAGCTTTTTATTAGATTGATATTATCATATATAATATTAACAAAAAATAAATAATCAAATAAATCAAAACAAAATAAATAAATCAATATATTCCTCATAAACACAAACAAATAAATAAATAGTAAAATAAATTTGTAACCATCAATATATGACATAAATTATAAGAAATATAAAACATTTTTTTATAAATAGAAAAACTAACAAGTAATTAATTTCAATTACTATCACTTTAATATATAAAAATGGCATTCATATTTTACTCTTTATTTTTCAATAAGGCTTGACAAGCCTCAATGAGGTGCTTTGGTATATGACATGTACACTATCAATATTCATTCATTCCACATCTATAATATTTATTTTTATTTTTTTATTTTTTTATAGTTATCCACTTCGGTTAGAAGATGTAATATTATGGTCATTATGATTATAATGATAATTATTTCGACCATATCCATGGCTATGACCACATCTTCATCCATGTCTAAAATTATTATAAATTGTCACATTTACTTAAGGGAATGGAGTAAATCCAATTGGATGAGATTTATTTTTTTTCATTTTATTTAGCCACTAACAAGTATAAAATCCATCCAAAATATTTCTTAAACTCTTTTTTCTCAATATGCTACTATAGGAGCATATCCAAGACATAAAAAGTAGAGAATATTTTTTTCAAAATAAAGCACTCGTAATCAATAATTCTTATTCAAAATATCAAGAGTCACCAAATCAAGTTTATGAGGTTTGATATGGTAAAAATTCTATAATACAATATATAATAATAATATTAGAAAATAAGAACAAATATAATAATAAAATTAAAGCTTTTCAAATAACATATATTAGATCATTAGTAGATCATTTAATTTTTTCAAATATATATTTCATGTATCAATAGATTTAAAGTACATGAATAAATTAGATACATACCTCTTAATGATCTAAATAATTTAGATCTTTTGGTAGAGCACTTGTGTAGAAGAAATCCAATGGTTGAAACAATTGATTAAGTTTTTTGATAGATACATACCTCATGGTCTATTGTCTCGATTAGTTAGAGCTTCGTATCGATAACGTGTTATAAAATAAATAGAAAAAATAGGAGAATAAAAAAAATGATGACAAGAAAATGAAATCACTATAATGTGAATACAAGTGATAAGAACTTCAAAGTTTTTTTATTCTCTCTAAGAAACTTGTACTCCAACTAATAAGCAATTAAGCCTCGTTTATAGTTTCAAAATTGAGGAGAGAATTGGAAGGGATTATGAATAATCAATTGCATCACCCTTTCAATTTCTCATATTGAATGATGAATTGAATTATATTAAGAATTATGAGTAGTGAGGATATAAAAAGTGGATGAACATGATGATGGACATTCATTGTTTCATAACATTAATGTTATTATTTTGTGAATCCATAAACGAAATTTGTTCATAAATAGTTTATATTATTTTGAAAAACTGATTTAGCAAGCATATTTGGGAAGAATAGCATTAATTTTTTAAAATAATTAATTGATTATACTGAATTTTTCTTTTTTAGATAAATGAAAATATATTTTTATTTCTATTTCTAGGATTACTTTTTATGAATTAAAGAAAGGGGGAAAAACTATACATTGGAAGTTTGGTGTTTCTTGTAATTAACTAATTATAACTTCAATTTAATCAATTGACCAACCATGGTATGAATTTTCATTCAATCTATTTTTTTTTTTAAGTTACATACTTATAATTTAGGGGTAGTTTTTTTATTATAAATTTAAAAGCATTAATTATCTTGTAACCCTGTTTTCAGTTCTCTCCATGTTTAGATTATATTATACAATACATTTCGTACCATAAAAAATCATGTGGATCTCATCGTATCCATAAATAAGTTTTACTTGAATTAATAGTCCTAAATAATTTTTTTAATTACTGATTCTATTTTTTATTCATTATTGAAAAAATAAATTAGATTTTAAACATGGTTCAAATTACAAATTAGTTAACATCCACTTAATTTTCAAATCTAAAACGATAGATGGTTAATTAATAAAAAAGAAATCACGAGTAGGCAACTGATAAACAAACATAACCACTTGCGGCTAGTCGACAAAGTTAATTGGGTAAATTGACAGAAACAACAAACTTGATAGGGCAAATTGAAATTTCTCCATAGAAAACTCCCTTCTCGCAAGATAAATTCATGGATGGAGTTGAATTATTATTATTATTTTTGAAAAAAAAATATTATCTTCTCTTCAACAAAAAAGACGGCAATCGACACGTGGAACGCCTAAGGATCGAGAGAACTCGAGTCTAGAGCACAGAAAAACTAAAATGGGAAGGACACAAAGAACGGGAAGGACGACAAAGCCTCCTGGTGGTGGAACTGTTACAATAAATCTCGAGTCTGGTAAACTCTTTTTTACCCATAAAAAAGTCTCTCCTTTCTTCCTCTACCTAGTCATGTTTATTATTTATTATTCTTCATTTTTGTTGTTTATGTCTGTTATTTTTTCATGAATTTTATGTGAAGTCCGTGTTTTGTTTTCTGGATTATCCTGGTTTGCAATTTGCGTTCTTCTCAGCCATCCACAACTCTGAAATACAAGTAAAATTTCAAGCTCTAATTGTACCAGAACTTCAGGACTTAAAATACAAGTCATGCTTATTATTTATTATTTTTCATTTTTGTTGTTTATGTCTGTTGTTTTTTCATGAATTTTATGTAAAGTCCGTGTTTTGTTGTCTGGATTATCCTGGGTTTGCAATTTGTGTTCTTCTCAGCCATCCACAACACTAAAACACAAGTAAAGTTTCAAGCTTTAACCGTACTAGAACTACAGGACTTGAAGAAAGATAAACAAATTGAAGTTACATCATGGATTTTTCACTGAGGAATTGCTTGTGACCCTCAAAACTAGAAGAAACCCACAAATGCTCTGTTGATTCTGCTGGTTATGAACTGTCTGTTGAAGCAATGACCAGTGCAATTGTTATGGGGAGCTGCTTTAGTGTCTTCAAATTACCATACAATTTCATTCGCATGGGGAGACCATGAGCTCTGTCTTTGTGGCGTTATTATTAGTTCTAGTGCATGCTCGCTTTATTTGTGATTGGAAATGGAATGAGGATCCCTTTTCCTTTCTTCGTTTAATTATATTGTTTGGTTTGCTGATAATAGATGTTTTATTTTAAGTTAAATAAATCACTGACTCTTTTGGTTGTATTAGGAAGTCATTATTAGTAAGTTCAGTTTCAAAGAAGATTATAATGTGAATTCCATTCTCAATTCTTTGAGAACTAAATGTAACCTTTGGGAATTCTCATGCTTTCAATAACGTGGTTCTTTTTTGAACCATTGAGGTCTTTTTATATCTGTCTTGACCAAATCTAATTTCTCAATAATTAATTTTTTATTTCAAGAACATTGGAAGGCTCGTCATAACTATGCCAAAAGATCGGAAGAGTTCTAACAGCCTAGTCTTATTGTTTTCGAACTGACATGATAATTTGTATATACAGGATTTAGAAATTCTAGATTTTCTGCCTTTTACCATGTCATTTAATTAAGTTTTGTTTGAGTGATGAATATTGAAATTTGATTTTTTATGCTTTCACAGAGGGTTACGCTGATCAACCTTCAAGACATCGCACATGTTGGAAGCATATCCAAGCTCTTATTTATGGTCAAAGAAAGAGGATAACCAAACAACAAGCTGAAGAGATTGAAAGCTTTAAATTAACATCCCCATGCTTTTTTCACACAATCCCTCACCGTGAACGATCAAAGAAAAGATTCAAGCACAAGAATGCAGTCTCTAAACTTAAAAAAGAGCTAGATAGTGTTGATTTTGACTGCTACCTGGAGTAAGTTGGTCTTTACTATTCTAGTAAGGTGGACTGATATATAAATTCTATTGACCGTGCCATCTCTTTGGAATGTGTAGAAATTTGTGGAAGAGCTTCTCAGAAGATAGGAAGGCGTCCTTCACATACCTTGACAGCTTATGGTTTACCATGTATGCAGAAGCATCCTCTGGAGAGAAAGTACTGAAATGGATCAAGAGGAAGAACATCCTTTCAAAGAAATATGTTCTTGTTCCTATTGTTCGCTGGTAATCATTTCTGTTAGCTGGTCAACTTGCAATTTCATGTTATGTTAGTGCATAAGAGTTTAAGAGTTTACTGCTTGAAATCCTTCTCTGTAGGAGTCACTGGAGCCTCTTGATCTTCTGCCACTTTGGTGAGAGTATGCTATCAGAAAACATAACGCCATGCATGTTGTTGCTGGATTCGCTTGATATGGCAAACCCAAAGCGGCTTGAACCAGACATAAGAAAGTATGTGTTATTCTTTTGCACAAAGGTTCATTTTCTTATCAGACTATAGTGGTCAAATATTTGTTAGTGCTCCATTCCAGGTTTGTATGGGACATCTACGAATCAGAGGGCAGGCCAGTAAACAAGCATATGATTTCTCAGATTCCATTATTGGTGCCTAAGGTGAACTCAGCATCGGTCCTCGAAAACTTCCTATTTATAGCTCCTTGGATATTCACATGTATGTTTTCGTAATTGTCCAGGTGCCACAACAGAGAAATGATGTAGAATGTGGGAACTATGTCCTCTACTTTATAAATTTATTTGTGCAGGATGCTCCCGAGAATTTTAGCATGGAGGGTTACCCTTATTTTGTAGGTTTTTCCTGTTACTGCCATGTTTATTAAATGAAGCATGTATCATATGTTTTCGTAATAGAGGGTTATTTTCTTTAACGTACAGATGAAAGACAATTGGTTCAGTCCTGAAGGCTTGGAGCACTTCTGCGAGAAACTTGAATCCCTTGAAAGCGATACTCATTAGTTCTACAAGATCCAACATTAATATTATCATTTGTGTAGTGATATTAATGCTAACAACACTGATTGTTGTATTATTCTTAGTTATATGATGAGATGTTAAGGGTAGGAAAAGATCAGCCAATGAAGCAAGAGGTATGTCTTAGTTTCTCAGGTTCCTAACTATTTATTACTTTCTTCCTGTCTTACATTTATTGTATAAAAAACTATTATGAAGATGAAATGTAAGTACAAATTTGTGCAACGGTTCAGATTATGAGCGCCGATTGGAATTTGGTAACCGAGGTACTACAAGAGTGATGGCTCGATCTAGATATTGTTATTTGCTATTAGGTATGAAGGCTGGAAAGCTCAAACCTTCTCAGGCTTTCAATTTTGTTTCATAATCTGCCGGGAGAAACAGGCTAGGCTCTAGAGTTCCTAGTGGCCATTTCTTCCAAAACTCCGCTGTTACATGCATGATTTACCATGTGTTTATTAATGATTACGTGTCAAATAAATGTATGGTTTAATGGTAAAAGTTGCTTTGGTTTTATTATAATTTGAAAATTTCAGGTTTTTTGTATTATACAGTGTAATTTCAATCCCAAAATATTGGTTTTTAAGCAAATTTGATTTAAATCTTTTAATTTTTATTATTTGTAATGATCAATAATGTTGATAGTTGAATGGAATATCTAAAAACACCGTTTTGTGCAGTTAGTTGTTAATTTCAAATTGCAGTGTAACTATATTTGACAAATATAAATAATTATTCTTTATCCTATTAATACTTAGTAATTTATTTTGATTTTTTCATTAACATACTTGAATCTAATTATATAAAATTTAAAAATTAAAGATCAAAATATTTTTTTCAAAAACTTTGAGAACTAAAAAAAACTTATAAATAAATGATCAAAATGTCAAAAAATAAATTTTAAGGATAAAAAAACTTTTTTTGAAAATTATAAGGATTAAAATGAATATTTTTGACAAATTAAATTTAACATGTATAAAATGGATATTAAATAGACGTGTGAACTAATATGAGTTGGATAAAAATTTATATAGTGATTTCTTAATGAACAATGAGTAGAGTATTTATTTATAAATAGGATAAAAAATTAAACTAATGGGCTAAGTATTCGTCCGTTGTCATACCTAATAACAAACTTAATACATGACAAAACTATCAGTTCAAGTAAGTAATGGCTTTTACATAAGATAATAATGAAACTAATTTGATGAAACTCTCTCTATCACACCCAATTTGCAGTTGTTAGATTATGTAATAAAACCGACTACACGTTGTCCGTCTTATCCTTTTAATTTAAATCTCTTAATTGTGAATTATGAATTTTTATATTTATTTTCTTAACAGCAAAATGTACAAAACGATGTTATTTTGGCATTCCGTTTAACGATCAATTCAGCTTGATAGTTATAAATAACAAAATTATGAGATTTATATCAAATTTGTCCAAAAACTAATATTTTGAAATTCAAATCATGTAATTTTATACTAAAAATCTAAAATTACCAAATTGCAATAGAATGGATGTAATTTTAGCCATTAAATCCAAAATATACATAACCTCAATTACGTGGGTTGCAATGCAGATTGATTTAAATCAATTTAAACACATTTGTGTTTATTATTTACATCATCTTACTTGTTTTGTTTTGCAATCTCAACCAACTAACAATAACAAAAAACAAAATGAACCTAGTTGTCATGAACTTAACCTTTTCCAAGCTTTCGTGTAGCACTTGGCTCACTTTTTCTTTAAGTCGAACTAAAACAGTCTTTTCTCACACAAAGTTGTTAAATAAAAAAAGACATACAAAAGAGATAACAAACAAACTCTTTGTATTGCTTTTTAAAACTTACAACCCTAGAAAATTACAACTTTTGAATTTTCTCTCGTGGATAGGATAGATTGGCCAAATGAAGATCTCACTTAACGTATAGTCCTTCACTTTTTTATTAGATAGTTATGATCTATTTTATCTAATGATTATAAATAATTATCTAAAATTATTTTATCCGAATATTTATAAAGAACTATTTAATATATAAATAAAGGATTATTTTTAGAATTTTTTAAGATACGTGTAAATTTTTTTGAACAATTTAAATACTTTTTCATTGTTTCATTTTTTTTCCGGAAGATTACAAACTCATACAACGTTCCCAATTAACATTTAGAAAAAACTAGGTTTTTTGCCGTTGTTACGCTACGGATAGGATAAAATATATAAAATCATTTAGAAAAATTATTTTAGTTTGATAGTTTGTTTTATAGCGTGAATGTATGAAAATATTTAAAATCAAAGGTGAAAAAAATATTTTAAATTTTTTTAATGTAATTTGAAATAAAATGGATGAGAATTAAAAAAAAAAAAAGACAAATTAAAGTAGTAAATTTTAATTAATAAAAATAATCAACAAAAAAAATTTCATTTAAAAAGTAAAAAAAAATTATTGTATAAATTATAATGATATGTTAAAAACAAAAAAAACACTAATGTTCTAAAATTTCATTTCAAAATTCATATATTAAAAAAATAAAATTATTAAAAGATAAAACTAAATCAAAAAATTATTTTTATGCGAATTTTAATAAGAAATGAATAATTAAAAAATTAAATTTAAACAATAAAAGTAATATATATATATATATATATATATATATATATATATATATATATATATATATATATGAGAGAGAGAGAGAGAGAGAGAGAGAGAGAGAGAGAGAGAGAGAGAGCGAGGGGTCCGGTTGGCTTGTGCAACTGGGTTGCACATATTAAAAAAAAAAAACCTTAGGGAGGCAGCACGGCTTGGGTTGTGCAAGCAAGCTAACATGCTTGGCGGTGGCCGCGCACTAGGCCTTGTTTGCGGGAAAAAAATCCCGCAACTTTCGACGAACTCGAGGTTGCCGAAGTTTGCCAAAAAATCAAAGGTCAACTTTCGGACCTTTAGAAATTGAATTCCAACATTGTTTTTTTTTTTTTCGAAAACCTCTAAATGATCGGAATAAAGCCAATAAACACATCTAAAACCTTAAAAATCATTTTAATACACACAAAACAAAGAAAAATACAAAATTAAATCAGATTTTTTTCTTTTTTGGCTCGATCTACCTCCTCTAATTGTTTAATGGCTTGAAACCATCATGGACAAGCTCATCTCTAAAAGATAAAAAAATCTAGTGGATTTTCGCCGATCGAGTGGCCTAAATAAGCTTGATTGGCGATCTCTCTCTCCTCTCGTCTCTCTCTTCCTCTCGGCCTTCCCTCTCTACCTAGAGATCAAAACGGATGAGCAAATGAACATGTGGATCGAAATATACGTTTAAAAATTTTAGAGGCCAAGTGTAAAAAAGTTATGAATAGTAAAAATAACAATGAATTATGAGAGGATGAATAGTAAAATATGAGTATGTGTACAGTATTTCAAATAGTGTAATTACAATAAATGAGTGTTTTTCTTTAGTTTATTAGTTAATTTTCTTTCGTACATAACCTAACATAGTGTTGCCAAATCGAGGCTTCCTGCTATCTTGAAGTTTGAGCATTGAGGTTGCGAGTCGAAAACAAAAATGTAGTGCGTTATTAAACCCAAAGCGTCCTTTTTTTTTTTTTTTTGAAAACTTAAGGATATATGGATATAATTTTGGTAGCCATGAATTCTCAACATTGGTTTCGCATTCAAAAAGTGAGTTTTTTCCCTGAATAGGGTACTTTTTAATCTATTTTTTCAAAATAAGGTATTTTAAATTTTATTTATAAAAATAGGGTTATTTTGCCATGTAGGCATCCATGTCATCTTTTTAGTTAAGTATTGTAATAAATATTTAATATAATAATTTAAAGAAATTAGAAACATAAAAAAAAAAAAAACTAACTTACGCTCTATGTCTCTCTTTTGTTGTCTTTGTCCTAATTTCTTAAAGTTAAGATACTCCTACAAATCAAAACCATAATTACTAGAAAAGTTCTTTAGCATATATATATTATCAATTAAGGTACTTTTCTAAATTCTCTTATTTTTATTTATTTAATTTTGATAAAATTTTCCTTTTTTTCAATCCAAAAGATATAGAAATTATTGCTTGGCAAATTAGGTTTTGATTACCGCCTCGATTTATTAATGTTATGAAAATTCCTCCGATTTATTGATAAGTATTATTGCCTCTTATACATGGTGAATGATTGCAAAAAGAAGTTTGAGCGTCTCCTCGCCTCTTGCAGTAGATGAGTTTATTTATTTGTGTTGTTATACTATAGCCATAATTTCACCTCTCTTGATGACTAAATTTGATTATTAAAACAAAGCGGTTTTCGTTGATGTCGTGTATCAATTTACAAGTCAATGAGCTATAGTTCAATTAACATTCTATCCTTCCCTCATCCACGAGGTTTGAAAAGGAACCTTTCCTTTGGAAAAAAAACCATAATTAATCTAACTTTTAGGTGGAAATTTATTGGCACATAATGTTTGTTGCCAATCCTCCCTCTTATCTAACACTCGTCGCCTTCTTGTTTTGTAACGTGGGTGTAATGAATTTATCTTGGGTTTTTTTTTTTGTTAATTTAATAGTATTAAAGAAGATAAAGAGCATCCTCATACACTAGTTATGACTTACATTTTGTTCGGGTATATTTACTCTCTCGTTGACGATCCAGAGAGTGTTGATTAATAAGATTAATAAATAAACGAGATATGAGCGAGCCCCCGTCCCTCTCAAAACAAGTTAGTTTCCGTCCCCCCAAACCTTTTATATTATATTACTCGTCAAAGAAAGCTTTTAAGAGAAGCAAACTTTTTCTATTAACTTCTCAAATCGGGAAAGGATTGAAATAATTTAATATGGATGTGAGTTAATATCTTAGTAGATGTGACATACAAATTTAGAGAATCAATTAGCGTATAATATCTATAAATTATATAAGTTTTATATTTTATATTTTTGTTAAATTTCATGTAATATTAAATTTTATTTTTTTAGGTTAGTAATGGTCGACGAGAGATATACCTATATTTTGCTATCGGAATGGACATATTATTGATGGAGAAGAAGGACCGTGTTACGATAATCCACTAAGGAAGGCCATTAAGTGACTCTAATGATCAAATATTATGAGTTACTAGATAAATTATATGCTATTATAGGATTTGATAAACAATATGTTCAACTGAAGTTAGTCTACGGATATCCTACAGCTTGTACATACATCAATGGTTAAGCATATTCGCTTGTTTATTGTTGATGATAGCGACATAGACATTATGCTTGAAATTCCCGCTATTCATGTTTCGATTAGTAACATTGAGTTGTATATTGAGACGAAGTTGTACTCATTCAATCGACTGAGCATGATATTCAACACATTAGTT